GTGTGTGTGTGTGTGTGTGTGTGTGTGTGTGTGTGTGTGTGTGTGTGTGCGCGCGCGCAGGAGGGAACGTTCTATGCCTAGTGGTGTAAGGCCCTCATAACGTTATTTGTGTTTCAGTAAGTAGGGGAGTCAAAGAAGAGGCGTGTCTGTGTAGGCCAGGAAAGGTATACTCCATGGAGAGCAAGATGCTTCTGTGCACTGAGATGATGCGTTTGATGAAACCCTGTGCTTCTTAGGTTTTAAATTTCACTGTGTTGTCATTGACATACCTACACTTCCAAATTAGTGATCACAACTAACTGTTGTTCCCTCGCATTTGTTGGGTTGACAGAAACTCTGAACAATGCGATAGTCCAAAAATAATAGATCTTAGTGAAGAAACACGCTGGGAAGATCTCTTAGAGCCTTTTCCAAAAAACTGCAGATTCCAATATTATCAAACAATTCCATGTAATTACAAGTTATTCTGATGTGTCACCACTTTGCCATGGTCAGGAAGAAGACCCAAACTGTTACCCTCAGATGAGAGGAAATTGGTAAGGATGTTCAGAAACCACAAAGGCTCAAGCCTGCCATGAACTGGAAACTCCTGGAATGCCAGCGTCACAGTTCATAGTGACGAGACTTTTACATCACCTTGGAGAGGGTGAGAGGGTGCTGACCAAAAAAGATGCCCCTGCTCCAAAATCAACTCCTTCAAGCTCGACTGAAATTTGCAGCTGCCCACATGGACAAGCCGAATGTCTTCTTGACAAAAGTTTCTAAATTCTTCTAAATTCCTTAGCTTTGACTCAAATCAACAGCTACGCGGATGAAACTTTGAGTTGGGCAGGACAATGATCCCAAACACTCATCAAAACTGGAATGGGTAATGCTGGCTAACATTAAGCTCCTAGAATGGTCTCCCCAATGCCCTGACCTCAACCCTGTTGAAAAAGTTAAGCTATGAGTCTGTATGCATACAACTGACCCCCGTTGGAGAAAATCCAAAATAAATTCAAACTCTTGCACACAGTCAATAGAGATGTGTGCTGTAAAACCATCCCACCCTGGAAAAAGGTCAGTTCAAAGAAAGCATTAAGAGCACAAAATTAGCATGACATCAATGCCCATAACAAGTGCATGTATGCATTAGGGGTGCAACGATACACAAAATTC